ACCCTGGTAGTTAGCAAGCTCAGGGCTGTTTTACATCCAGACGCCACACATCTCTCCATCCAAGGTGTCTTGTTTAAATAATCCTTCAATCCTGTGTTAATGGTTTTTAGTCATAATGAGCATGTGCTTTCCTTATGCTTTGCCTCAGACCCTCCTATGACCACTAGTGACTCCACGCAGCTATTTAAAGGATGATATTAACAGTAAAATGTGCCACGAAGAAAAGGGAAGGACGCTATGCAGTATATTAACAGTACAAAGTGTCATGAAGGAACAGGGAAGGAAGCTATGAATTCTTCCTAAGAGTATGGAAAGGGATCTTAGAGGTAGGTATTTGCCAAGCAGGGCAAGGCTGAGGGCATGACATGCAAGGAGACGAAATGTTCTGAGTCAAGCAACGTGTATGAAAGGAAATGGCACACTTGGGGAATGAAGAAGAATCCAGGAAGGAAAACGCCAGCAATAGAAATTGAGCATCAGCAAAGAACGGGGCCCCAACAACTTTGTACTATAAGGAAGCGGGCTTTTAATTTTAAGAAATGGAGCAGAATGGATCAGAAAGGGAAAACTGGAGAAAGACCTCAAGGGGGTCACTGAGACCAGCACCAGTTAGGGTAATACCCAGGGGAGAACGTCAGTCAAGGAACCAAGGTTTCCTCTGGTATTCTCTGCTCTGTTCTGAAGAGCTGTCTGGTGGGGCAACGTATCAAGTGAAGGGGAAAAAAATGCTAGTAAAAGCCTAAATTTTATTTCTGTTTCACCTCTGGAGAAGAAAAGAAAACAGTGGTTATATGCTGCAGCTACCGATGTTCCCTCATCCACAAGTCTGGCCCTTCAAGTCTTGATCCCTGTGATGGTCTCCTAGTCAGTGTGCTTTGCTTGCATCCAACATTTTCCTTTTCCAAACCAAAACTTTCCTCATGGCTGAGCATGGCATATCGAGTCAGAAGACCTTGGTTCTAGTCTTGACTCTTCCACTAATTTGTTGCGTCATTGCACTTTTTTGAGCTTCTGTATCCT